GTAAATAGTAAGCGTAGAACGTCCGCACATCCATCCTCGTTATCTTTTCTCAATATGTCAGCAAACAATGATCAGGCAATTGCCGATCTTTTTGCCAAATTTTTCCAAACAACCTATTCTCATGAAAGCTACTCTGGTCAGCCGTATCCATACAGTTTACCAAGGTCGAATGGCATCTTCAGCCCTTTGTTAAATGAAAGCTCACTGCTTCATGATCTTCGACTAGTTAAGCCGGTGTTTTCACCAGGTCCCGACGGAGTTGCCGGCTGTGTACTTAGGCACTGTGCCGACGCTCTGTGTGGACGCTTGCTTAAACTATTCACCCTATCCATTAACTCTTCATGCTTCCCCCCCATCTGGAAGGAATCTTTTATTATTCCGCTCCATAAGAAAGGTAGCAAGTCTGATGCAAATAATTATAGGGGTATATCTAAGTTATCCGCTATTCCTAAAATGTTTGAACAAATTTTAACTCCGCACTTGCAACATCTCTGCAAATCACTTATATCTCCGTCCCAGCACGGATTTATAGGCGACGATCAACAACCACAAATTTATTAGAGTTTACCTCTTTTATCATTAAAGGCTTTCAAGGTAACTTGCAGACGGATGTCATTTACACTGATTTTAGTAAAGCATTTGATTCTGTAAACCATTCCCTTTTAGTACAAAAACTTGACCTTTTAGGGTTTCCGCCTAATCTTTTGAGATGGATTTCTAGCTACCTTTGTTCTAGGTCTCAAAGAGTCCTCTTCAAAAACTCCTTCTCTTTACCTGTTAAGGTTACTTCTGGAGTACCACAGGGCAGCCATCTAGGCCCCCTACTATTCACACTCTTTATTAATGATCTGCCTTCAGTATTAACAAACTCTCGAGTACTCATGTATGCGGATGATGTTAAACTTTGTGTCCAGTATAAGGACATTTCATTTCACTCTCGCTTGCAATCCGATCTCAATAACTTTCAATCATGGTGTTGTGCAAATATGTTACACCTAAATGCCTCGAAATGCAAAGTAATGACATTTCATCGCTCCAGCCCCCTATTGGCTCCTTATAGCCTCTGCGGTGGTTCTCTTGAGAGAATTACCTTGGTTGATGATCTTGGTGTTAAATTAGACCCAAAGTTGAAGTTTTCTGAACACATTTCTACCATGGTAAATAAGGCCATGGGTGTGCTTGGGTTTATAAAGAGGTGGTCAAAGGAATTTGACGACCCCTATATAACGAAGACTCTCTATATCTCGCTTGGTCGTCCGATTTTAGAATACGGCTCTTGTGTATGGTGCCCCCAGTACAAAGTACACCAGGACCGTATAGAATCAGTCCAGAAAAACTTTTTACTTTTTGCTCTGCGTGGCCTTAACTGGGATGCAGGTGTGAGACTGCCATCTTATCCTCGTAGATTGCTTTTAATAAACCTTCCAACCTTAGTTAGTCGTAGAAAAATGCTTGGTGTGATTTTTATGCACAACCTGATCAAGGGTGATGTAGATAGCCCTGACTTGTTGAGCCGCATAAACTTTACGATTCCTATCAGATCTACTAGAAACTTCATTCCTCTTTTCCTTCCGCTTTGTAGATCGAATTATTCCTTTCACGAACCATTTAGGGTACTTTGCTCGGACTTCAATTCCCTCTACCACATAATATCAACTACTAATTCCCTTCCTCTTCTTAAATCACTAATACTAACATACCTTTCCCGTAATTAGTTATATTTTTTAGCTATCTTTGCATGCTTTGCTCTTTGAGTTGTGTTTAGCTCTAATTTTCCTCGAATTTTAGTCTAACACCTATCTTTCCTGCATGCTCGCGATCGGTTCGGTAACACGCGTCGCGCGTCATGCGGCAGCGCCCCTCGGTCGGTTGGGCGGGAGGAGGGCTGCGTTTCTGCCTGGGTTCCGCGCGTAACAGGCTTCGGCTTGGTGTCGCATGGGCCACTTGATGGTGCAGTCATTGCATATCAACGTCCAGACGAATAGCGGCTATTTTGCCAATAAATTAGTCCTATTGGGTCAGGATAATAACCATAGTCTCATAATCCATGTTCTTGTCCTTTTCATATTATGTTATAATTTTTTTTTTTTTTTAGTTTAACTGCTCATAGTTGAACCTTATGAAATAAATACAAATACTACTAAAAGACGCAATGATGCATGACGCAAACCTAGTGTAAACAAGCTATTAGAAACACTGAGATTTTTGAAAATTTTCTTAGAAAAGTAGACTTGTACATTTTTGCTATATCAGTTGACTTAATTCATTCTCGATTAATAACAGCGCGAAATATATATATTATATTTTTTTTTACTATAATAGTAATTTTACTAGTGCTTATATTATCTTTTCAATAATGGATCCTGAAAGAAATGTTAAGCGCCTCCGGAAGCTATTTGGCGTTTCCCGTACTATATTAAAACGGGCAGCAAGGCGTCCTAGTGTAAGCGATCAGGAACGTGAAGAACAGCAGCGGAAACGATTTCAATTTCTTCGTGAAATGCGTCAGCAGCGGATCTCTAGCCTTGGTGCTAATCACCGGTATGTTTTAGAAATATGTGCAGATATGTTTGGCTTAGACACAGAAGAAGTGGTCACAGGGGTTGTGGACGAAAATAAATATGTCGAGAATTTAAATGGACTTTTTAATGAAAGAGGCCCAATGGCAATAATGTTGAGTAACGCAGAAATGATAGGCTATCCCACCGAATCTGGACGTTATCAAGAAAAGCTTAAGTATACCGAAATACAGCGAACTATCTGTTTACGAGCCGACTCAGTGGACATGATTGGTAAATGGATGGTGGTTTATCGGCACCACAATGACAGGTCCATTGAAAATCGTTCAGTAAGCGATGAGGTGGCAATGTTTATGATTAACGCAGAAGAGCGAAACGCATGTTTAAATGTAGTTAAAACCTTTATCGATTTTGTTTTAAAACCATCGGTTGAGGCTGTAACAGAGTTTGGTCTGGCGGAAAAAGAACAACTTCAAAAGTTTTTTCATATACTAAATATGTATAATACCTTTCTAAAATCCTCAGAAGCCACTGTCTCTTCGCGTGTACACTTTGATGTGTCTCATGACCTATTTAAGGGGTTTTTACTAGTAAGATGGCAAATTGAAGCAAGCTCAAAAATAGTGACGCGTGTACGGCTAGTTGAGAGGTACTTTGAACAATGGCTCAGACAAATCCAGGGGATACTTGTGGAAGGAAAACAAATTCAGCGTGACACTCCAGATGTAGGTCCATTACAAATGTTGGTTAATTGGCGACGAATGCTGGCAAGATATACTTCAATTACAGAGTTTGTCACATCACGAGCATTTAATAACCACAAAGACTGTTTGACCTTATCAAGATCATCAAAGCTATTGAATGTAAGTAAATTAAAAAATTCTTATTTTGTATGGATTACTGCCGGTCTCTGGGGGCACTTGCGATTGAGGGGTGTGCATGCTATTAAGTGAAATTTGTTTTTGTAAGTTGGTCCGTCCGTTGATAAAACAAATAATTTTAAAGGTTGATTGGTGAAATCAAATATATTCTCTTTTTTCCGATTTTCCGACAGTAAACTATTTTTTCGGCTGCGCCTTTTTTGTTCCACATGAAAATCATTTCTAGCTATACCCGGACACGCTTCACTGTGGCACATTGTGGTTGCCGTCGTAATTTCCGTCGTCTTCACTTGATCGACGCACATTATGTTTTCCGCTACGCATATTGATGCTTCGTGTACCGATTCCCGTTCTTCCTCATTCAAATTTGAAAACCATCTTTTAATAGTAGGATTACGATTGATTTACAGGCGTTTATCCAGAAATCTTCAATGCAATGATCGCAAGATTTCGTAACAAATCAACGCGGCGCCCCTTTCCTGCAATTTGTGGTTCTTAATGAGTTAATTAATTTATTTCAACTTTATTCTATAAACACTCTATACCGGTTGAATTTAGTTTTTGATTTATGTAACACTTTCATTACAGAAAAGCGATCAGTCCATCTGTTCTTAAATCGCGACTTTCCGAGCCGCGGTCATTTTATCCATAGTTTTTTTTTAAGTTATTCTGCTATCCTGGATGGAGACAAATTCATCAAATCAAATACCATGAATATGGGTCCAGCCGTTCTCGAGTTATAAGCGATTTAATAGACACGACTTTGTTTTTCTCTCCCTTTATATAGATAGATTTCAGACTTATACCTAGCCGGGGTCAAAGGTTATTGATTTTGCAAAGTGTTTTGAGAAAACGAGCCAATGTGCGACGTCGCAGAGTGCCTCGTTAAACCCTTTAGCATACAACTTTTGCACAGAGTATCCAGGAAAGTCGATCAGAAGATTCCCGAAATGATTAGCCGATATTTTCTCTTGATTATCCCTGTGTTCATCTGCCCATATTTTCGGGGTTAAGAGTTGCATTATTTGTGGCACCTTTTTTGTGAGATCGTAAGTCTTGTTCTTGTCTTATTTCTTTTTCCTCGTGTGTGTATTGTGAGCCGACATAACAAGGAGAGCTTCAACTACAACCGAACTGTTCTTCTTTCCCAATGTATGTGATCGTATTTATATTTCACTTTAATTTCACAAAGACTGTACACCTATTTGTCGAAATAACAATAAAATGCATATTTAAGACAGGACGAGCTGCCAAATTTGAGGATTAAGTTTGAATTGAATGTATATTGAGAAGATGTATGACAGTTTAGGTTGATTTGAAATTAAATTGTTTCTTTAAACATATTCAACGTGCTGACAACTGATGAAATGACGATTGATACCAACTACTACTAAAAGACGCAATGATGCATGACGCAAACCTAGTGTAAACAAGCTATTAGAAACACTGAGATTTTTGAAAATTTTCTTAGAAAAGTAGACTTGTACATTTTTGCTATATCAGTTGACTTAATTCATTCTCGATTAATAACAGCGCGAAATATATATATTATATTTTTTTTTTACTATAATAGTAATTTTACTAGTGCTTATATTATCTTTTCAATAATGGATCCTGAAAGAAATGTTAAGCGCCTCCGGAAGCTATTTGGCGTTTCCCGTACTATATTAAAACGGGCAGCAAGGCGTCCTAGTGTAAGCGATCAGGAACGTGAAGAACAGCAGCGGAAACGATTTCAATTTCTTCGTGAAATGCGTCAGCAGCGGATCTCTAGCCTTGGTGCTAATCACCGGTATGTTTTAGAAATATGTGCAGATATGTGTGGCTTAGACACAGAAGAAGTGGTCACAGGGGTTGTGGACGAAAATAAATATGTCGAGAATTTAAATGGACTTTTTAATGAAAGAGGCCCAATGGCAATAATGTTGAGTAACGCAGAAATGATAGGCTATCCCACCGAATCTGGACGTTATCAAGAAAAGCTTAAGTATACCGAAATACAGCGAACTATCTGTTTACGAGCCGACTCAGTGGACATGATTGGTAAATGGATGGTGGTTTATCGGCACCACAATGACAGGTCCATTGAAAATCGTTCAGTAAGCGATGAGGTGGCAATGTTTATGATTAACGCAGAAGAGCGAAACGCATGTTTAAATGTAGTTAAAACCTTTATCGATTTTGTTTTAAAACCATCGGTTGAGGCTGTAACAGAGTTTGGTCTGGCGGAAAAAGAACAACTTCAAAAGTTTTTTCATATACTAAATATGTATAATACCTTTCTAAAATCCTCAGAAGCCACTGTCTCTTCGCGTGTACACTTTGATGTGTCTCATGACCTATTTAAGGGGTTTTTACTAGTAAGATGGCAAATTGAAGCAAGCTCAAAAATAGTGACGCGTGTACGGCTAGTTGAGAGGTACTTTGAACAATGGCTCAGACAAATCCAGGGGATACTTGTGGAAGGAAAACAAATTCAGCGTGACACTCCAGATGTAGGTCCATTACAAATGTTGGTTAATTGGCGACGAATGCTGGCAAGATATACTTCAATTACAGAGTTTGTCACATCACGAGCATTTAATAACCACAAAGACTGTTTGACCTTATCTAGATCATCAAAGCTATTGAATGTAAGTAAATTAAGAAATTCTTATTTTGTATGGATTACTTCCGGTCTCTGGGACTCCGGAAAAACGTTCCGAATTAGTGTAGTTAAATGGTTTCTATATCCCTAAAAGGTCCCAATTCGTCGAATCGACGACGCATTGTCACATATCTTCAATTATTTCCATTATACTTTGTCGTTTATTGCTAATTCTTAGTACAGCTCCAGCCATAGCTCAGCTGCTACAGTGTGCCGACATACAAGTCCGTCGATCATCTGTAACTACGGTTTTTATACCCGTATTCAAAAAGAGTTAAGGGGTATATTAGATTTGTGGTAAAAGTGGATGTGTGTAACGCAGAGAAGGAAACGTTTCCGACTCCATAAAGTATATATATTCTTGATCAGCATCAATAGCCGAGTCGATATAGCCATGCCTTTCTGTCCATCTGTCTGTCTGTCTCGATGAACGCCTAGATCTCAGAGACTATAAGAGCTAGAGAAGCAAAATTTGATTTCCAGACTGCTACAAGTTTATTTCAAAATATCGCCCAGCCCCCTTCCGCCCACACAAAAGACGAAAATCTGTGGCAGACACAATTTTAAAGATGCGATAAAACTGAAAGCGCAGTATCATAGAGAATGCCCATATCTACCAGATTGCCGATTCTGAATTAGATCGGATCATAATTATAGGCAAAATGAAGAAATTTAATTTTTAGTTGCTTCCCCCGCCTACTTCAGCCAGAGACGCGCTAAGAGAATTCTTTCTCGCTCGCACACTCTGCCGCGTTCAGAGCGTGAGCAACACCTAGCGGAGGAGATGTAAAATCTAAATGATACATATATAATCTACATGTTAGATGTAGAATATACATTGTAGATTTAGATAACAGATGTAGCAAAAAAATGTAATTCTAAAATTGTAAAAAATCATAAGCTCAAAAATGAATATACTGACTTAGTACGGGTATAAGTAGAGTCGCGTCCCCAGAAGCGACTCACACGTTCCTTCTCGTTGTTTAAAACTCGTCAAAACTACGAAGCATAACCTTAGTATGCCTTTTTTCAACATCTCGTTTTGCACATCTCTTTTCTTTATCAAAATCAGTAAGAAAAGCATTTCTTTGAATTAAAAATTGAAGAATTGGTGGCAGATGAGATATTGATTTTCAAGTCAAAGTCAACAAAAACGAAAAGGAACGTGAGAGTCGCTTCTGGGGAATATAAGCTCAAAAATGTATATACTGACTGAGTACGGGTATAAGTAGAGTCGCGTCCCCAGAAGCGACTCACACGTATTATATTTTAGAATTTTAAAATAAAATAAAACATTTTACATTTTAAATTTTTTTGCTACATCTTTTATCTACATCTACAATGTATATTCTACATCTAACATGTAGATTAAAGATGTACCATTTATATTCTAAATCTAACATGTAGATTAAAGATGTACCATTTATATTCTACATCCCCTCCAATAGGTGTTGCTCGCGCACTGAAAGTGCTATGTGATAGTGTAGCGGATCTCTGGCTGAAGTAGGCGGGGGAACCAACAGAAAATTAATTTCTTCGTTCTGGGTATAATTATAATCCGATTCGATTCAGATTCGGCAATCTGGTAGATATGGGCATTTTCTACGATACTGCGTCTTTAGTATTATAGTATCTTTAAAATTGTGCCTGCCACAGATTTTCGTCCTTTGTGGGGGCGGAAGGGCGAAATTTTGAAAACCAAATTTGGTTTCTCTTACTTTTATAGTCTCTGAGATTTAGGCGCTCATCGAGACGGATGGGCGGACAGACGGACATGACTATATCGACTCGGCTATTGATGCTGATCAAGAATATTTTTGTCGGATCATAATAATATTCCAAGTGTTTCTCGCTCGGAGAGGATAAAAGGAGCGATAGAAAGGCACGCACGTGGAGCGTGTTCCTCTGCGGTGATGAGTGTGAGGGAGGAAGATATAGAGGCAAAGGGAAATTTCGTAACGAGTAATAATTGTAGTTGCGTTAGAGAGTTTGCCCACACCACGAGCCAAGCGGAGTAATTCTTTATTGACGTAGAGCCCTAGTTAAAATGGCAGATCCAACCCAGGAAAATATTAACCCAACATCAGATGTGAGATCTGTGCCAACTCCTGCTATATATGCTGTATATATATGTGGAGCAGTTGCGTGTAGTTCTGGAGCTGGCCATTTATACTGTAGCAAATCAAGGCATCGACTACGCAGAAGACTGGCGTCACTCTGCCAAAATTTAACCCTGACGCAGTGTGTGTGTAAGCCTCCCAATGGTGTGTGACCGCTGACATTATTTTATCGGAGAATCCGCTAACGGGCAGTGGGCTCATTATGGCACTGAGCAATTGCATGGAGGGCAGTGCTTCGCAGTGCTTGACCCAAGTGTTATGCCGGAATTGAGTGGAACCAGTTCAAGGAACTTTTCAAGCAGCGGTATGAGACCGAAGAGACGTCGGCCGCCATATTGCTAAATCTTTTTAGCAGCCGTCCCTCTGCTTGTGAATGCCATGCAGTATACGCAAGCCGCCTGGTGACTTCTCTTATGTCGAAGTGGAAAAACATGAACATCGAAGAAATCGCTGTCTGCTGTTCTGGCGCATGTGGCAACTTATTTTCAATTCAAATGTGACCACCCGAGGCAAGCTGCAGTCGGAGTTGACGGCCCTTGCATTTACAAACAAACGCAGTGCTGGAACAGTGGAACACACGGAACCCGACTGCAAGTGATTAAGGCAGTCTACCCTGTTGTGCCATTTTAGTAAGAAGCCAGGCCACAAAATGAAAAACTGTCGCACTAAGCAACTGCAGGATGGAACTGGAAACAACTTCAAGAGGGAAGCCGCTTAGAGAGGACGTGACCTGTTACACTACTCGACAAAATCGAACTTTTTTTTTCCTCAAGGATCCAAACCGACCTTTTCTGATAGATATGGGGATTTAAATTTTTTAAAGAATTATGGTTTTTTTTCTATGGCAGAACTTTTTTTTGAAGAATTTTTGAAGTCTGGTATTTTTTTTAAGCTTTTTTCAGAGGTAGCGGTTGTTTTTTTCACATAGCTCTAGTATCAGGTACCAAATGTACAACCCTTGTTCGTTTGCTTTGTTCCCAATGGGCAGTTGGGCTCGCCGCCTTCAAAAAGGTATTTTTTGTTCATTTTTTCCATATTTTAGGTTTGGTTAACGAATTTTAGCTCCAAAGTCTCTCAATAGATTTTAATGAGCGATACCTTAAACGACGCCAAATTAACGCACCTATACACAAAAAAATAGAGGACACAAGATATAATTTTTTTTCGACTTTTCCCAAGTTTTTAAAGTCAAAATTTCGTAAAAAATACCGCACAAAAATCATCATTTTTGCATTTCAATGCTTTATATTTCCCAGACGGTAAGCTGTAATCACAAAGTGTTTGGGCTTAACTTCTAGCTGTTTTATCTTATCTTTTCAAAATAGCAAAGTTCTTTACAACCAGACGTAAGATACTAGAGCTATGTGAAAAGAACAAGCGCTACCTCTGAAAAAAGCTTAAAAAAAAAAAAACCAGTTTTCAAAAATTCTTAAAAAAATAGTTCTGCCATAGAAAAAAAAAAAAATATCATCAAACCATTTCTAAGCCCCAAATCTTTAAGAAAAAGTTCGTTTTGTTCCTTGAGGAAAAATCGTGTTGACTAGTGTTATCGGTGTGGCCAGCGTGGACATTTCGCTAACAAATGTTCCAGGGAGGCGACCGTTACCAAATCTGGAGTATTTCAGCAGAAAAGCATCAATCAGTTCTTTGTGTCAGAGCCTAAAGGAAGTACGACACATTGAGGTACGATCTTTCCAATTTGTTTTGACTCTGGGGCTGAATGCTCGTTGATCAGAGAGAGTATTGGTGCAAATTTATCGGGGAAACGCATCAATAACATTGTAATGTTAAAGGGTATTGCACACCGTCATATAGAACATTGCAAATCTTAAGCACTGTTGTAATTAATGAAAATGCCCTTGAAATATTGTTTCATTCCGTACAAGATAAACAATTGCAGAATAATATTGTAATTGGACGAGAAATTCTAAAGCAAGGTTTTAATGTGTTACTTTCGTTCGATAAATTTGAAATCTTAAAAACCAAATTTGTTTAATGTTTGTGCAGCTTATGAAATGCCAATTAGTCTATTTAATGTTAATACTGACCTGATTGATAATAACAAAAATAAGTTGATTAAATTACTTGAACAATATTCTGCAGCTTTCATTGACGGAACGCCTTGCTCTTATGTTATTATTGGTGAAATGAAATGCCGATTAATAGACTCAAACAAAACCGTGCGGCGGAGACCGTATAGACTCAGCCTTGAAGAAAAGTTAACAGTTAGGTCTCAGATAAGTGAGTTAATAAAACCCATTAGACCCAGCTGTTCTCCGTACGTTTGTTTGGAAAAAAAGAAAAACGGTTCGGACCGACTTTGTGTCGATTATAGAGGGCTAAACTCAAACACGGTTTCTGACAAATACCCCTTGCCACTCATCGATGACCAGATTGCAAGACTATGTGGAGCTAATTATTTAACTTGCTTAGACATGTCTAGCAGATATCATCAAATACCAAATCACCCTGATTCGGTAGAATACACTGCATTTGTAACGCCAGAAGGTCAATACGAGTTTTTGAAAATGCCGTTTGGTTTGAAAAATCTACCATCCGTTTTTCAGCGTAGCGTCATGAATGCACTTGCTGACTTAGCTCAGTCATACGTTATTGCTTACATGGATGATATTATGGTGGTGTCATCTACCATTGAGCTGGGTCTGGAGATATTAAAAATTGTTCTGGATATTTTGAATAGTGCTGTATTCTTGTTAAACATTTCAAACTGTAATTTTTTTAAAACTGCTGTTTAGTATTTGGGATATGAGGTGAGAGCTGGATAGATAAGGCCGAATCCGGGAAAAATAATTGCCTTGAACTCCCTAGCTCCCCCAGAATCAGTTAGTAGCTTGAGACAATTCATCGGTTTGGCTTCATATTTTCGTAAATTTGTGCTTGGATTTTCACAAATGATGAAGCCACTGTATTCTCTTACATCAGTGAAGGAAAGCTTTTCTTGGAATACAGAGCTGGAAAGGATTCGAAAGAAGGTCGTTACCATTCTTACAAATGAACCAGTGCTTGTAATCTTCAACCCAGAATATCCAATTGAATTGCATACAGATGCGAGTTCCTGTGGCTATGGTGCTATGTTGATGCATCGAATCAATTGCAATCCTCATGTAGTAGAATATTTTAGCAAAACCACTTCCTCCGCTGAGTCAAGATATTATTCCTATGAATTGGAGACGTTGGCAGTTGTTGAAGCTGTTAAGCATTTGCGTCACTATTTGCTGGGACGTGAGTTTGTAGTATGTAACTCTTTAAAGGCTTCACGCACTAAACTGGAATTGACCCGTAGAGTTTATCGGTGGTGGGCTTATTTACAGTCCATTAACTTCGATATACAGTATATGGAAGGTAGACGTATGGCCCATGTTGATTTTTTGTCAAGAAATCCCATTCATGTAAAACCCGATTCTATAAAATGTAAAATTCCTGAAAAACGATTGGCTCTTAGCTGAGCAGCGACTTGATTCAGATCTGTTTGATATTGATCTTGTTGAAGATTTGACAAAGACATACGAATTAAAAAAAGATGTGTTGTTTCGAAAAATTCAAAGAAATAATAGAACGCGTTGTTTGCAGGTAGTACCACGTGCTTATAAATGGTCAGTAATAAATCAAGTTCATGCATCAATTATGCACTCAGGTTGGAAGAAAACGCTTGATCAATATTATTTCTTTGAAAAGATGAACAAGTACGTAAGAAAATTTGTTGATAATTGCATCACTTGTAAAACAGTTAAGGGGTCGTTGGGAAAAGTTCAGGCAGAGCTTCATCCCATTCCAAAAGTGAATATACCTTGGCATACCGTACATATAGATATCAACGGAAAATTAAGCGGTAAAAGTGACCTTAAAGAGTATGTGTTTGTACAGATTGACGCTTTCACAAAGTACGTTTACTTGTTTCATACTCTCAAACTGGATACCGAGAGCTGTGTGACTGCTATGAAATCATCCATTTCTTTGTTTGGGGTTTCGACCCGAATCATTGCCGATCAGGGTAGATGTTTCACTAGTGCAAAGTTTGCTGAGTTCTGTTCATCACAAAATATTAAGCTTCATCTAATTGCTACGGGAGCTAGCCGTGCTAACGGTCAGGTTAAGCGTGTTATGAGCATTCTGAAAAATCTATTAACTGCTGTTGAATCAAGCCAACGTCTTGGCAGGATGCCCTGTGAGAAACACAGCTTGCCCTCAACTGAACAGTCAACCGTGCAACTGGAGCTAGTCCCTTAGAGCTTCTGATCGGCAAAGAGGCTCGTCCAATGGGTTTAATTTCTCCATGTGACACAGAGGAACAGATTGTCTTACAGGTTTTGAGAGATGCCTCATCAAAAAATATGCAAGATTTAGCTGTTTATAACAAGTCTAGGTTTGACAAGAGTAAAGCTGCTGTAGTTAAACACAAGGTGGGTGACTATGTTTTACTCAAAAGCGAAGAAAGGCAATAGACAAAAGTTAGATGCACATTTTAGAGGTCCATTTATTATATTAGAGACTCTTGATGGGGATCGGTATGTGTTGAAATCTTTGCATAATAATCGAACGTACAAGTATTGCCATGATTATGTACGAAAAATGGCAGAGGGTCGCATACCGAATGAATTAGATATCAATGGAGAAGAGATAAATTTGCCTAAGACTCCAGTTGGGACTAAGTGTGAGCCGCTTAAAAAGAGTGATGAGTATTCTGTCCAGTAAGGATGAAGAGTCCAGGTGAGACTTATCGTATTCCGTCCAGTAGGGATGAATAGTCCAGGTGAGACTTAAAGTATTCCGTCCAGTAGGGATGAAGAGTCCAGGTGAGACTTAACATATTCCGTCCAGTAGAAATGAGGAGTCCAGGTGGGACTGAATAAGTAAACGAATCAGCTGGTGGTATTTGAAACAAATCGAGTTTGAGTTATTTTATATTTTGCTGGAATCGTAACTTATACGAAAAGAATATTGAAAAAGTCGGTGTGACTATATTAAAATGAATTTTGTAATTTTTGTTAATGAAAAATAACAGGAAGAATGTTAAGCAAAAACGGATTTAAAATCTAAATGTAAAGATATTCTCATAGAAAAATACCCTTAGTTTAATAAAAGCCTAAACTGTGTACGGGTACGGGTATAAAAATCAAGATTGGCACGATTTTTTCAATTCATTAGAGGCTAATTACAAAAAAAAAAAATGTGAAAAATGCCAATGAAATCTGTATGGAAAACACCAAATACATATATTCCTTCGCCTCTTGTATAAACCAAAAGAAATTTCCTACTTAACTTTTTGTAGTTTTCTGTAGTTTTAACTATTATTTAAATGATGTGATCAAATTTAAAATTCCAAATGTGATCTGTATATCCCCAATTTTCACCATATATTAAGGGCCCATTCATAAAGAATATTTGTAAACATTATAGTAGCCCGAGCTTCGTCTGCTCTCAGCTCTCTCGGGAAGGTCCGCGTTTGAGTACTCGACCCAACCATCGAACACACGAGCAAAAGTGAGTGCAAGTTCACGACACTGACTTTCGTCATCCATAAAAAATCAACGAAACAAAATATTCAAACAAAATAAATTATTTCATACTTGTCATTTAATTCGTATCAAATTGGAGTACAAAACAGTAACATATGAGATGAATTCAAAAAGTTTGAAACTGCTTTGTCCAATTACAACATAAAAGTATTTCTCTCCATCTGACTGAAAACGGTTAAATTTGGTCGGGGGATTCAACTGAAAATTAATTTTTTCATTCTGGCTATAATTATGATCCGATCTGTTTCAGAATCGGCAATCTGGTAGATATGGTCATTCTCTACGACACTGCGTTCCTGCCACAGATTTTCGTCCTTTGTTGGGTCGGAAGGGGCGGGGCGAAATTTGGTTGCCCTAGCTCTTATAGTCTCTGAGATCCAGCCGACAAACAAGACGGTCGGACGGACGGACGGACAGACGGACAGACAGATATGGCTCTATCAAGAATATATATACTTTATGGGGTCGGAAACGTTTCCTTCTCTGCGCTACACACATCCACTTTTACCACAAATCTAATATACCCTTTAACTCTTTTTTGGGTACGGGTATAAAAATGTTGGCCAAGAATAATTTTTGTTTGCGACTTTTCCCGAGTTTTTAAAGTCAAAATTTCAAAAAAAAAAGATACCTGCTATAAATTATGAAATTTAAATTTGAAAGCTTAATATCTTCCAGGCGTTAAGCAGTAGATACAAAAAGTCTGGGTCGGATTTATAGCTGCATTTGTCAGCTTTTTAGACCTGCAATGTTCCATGCAACCCGATACAAGATACTTAAGTGATGTGAAAAACAAAAGCACTACCCCTGAAAAAAAAACTTAAAAAAAATACCAGATTTTAACAAATTTATTTTAAAAAAACCAAACCCCGAAATCTATATGAACGGGAAGGAACGTGTGAGTCGCGACTCTACTTATACCCGTACTCAGTCAATATATACATAAAAAAAGAACATAAAAGAATGAGTAACGTCACGCTGATAGATATGGGACTTTTAAATCTTTTAAAGAATTATGGTTTTTTTTCTATGGCAGAACTTTTTTTGAAGAATTTTCGAACTCTGGTATTTTTTTGTAAAGCTTTTTTCAGAGGTAGCGCTCTTTTTTTCACATCACTCTAGTATCTGACGTCTGGTTGTAAAGAAGCATCAATGCTTTATGATTCCCAGACGGTAAGCTGAAATTACAAAGTGTTTGGGCTTAACTTCTAGCTTTTTATACCCGTACTCAAAAAAGAGTTAAGGGGTATATTAGATTTGTGGTAAAAGTGGATGTGTGCAACGCAGAGAAGGAAACGTTTCCGACCCCATAAAGTATATATATTCTTGATCAGCATCAATAGCCGAGTCTATATAGCCATGTCTGTCTGTCCGTCTGTCTGTCTCGATGAGCGCCTGGATCTCAAAGACTATAAGAGCTAGGGCAACCAAATTTGGTTTCCAGACTTATGTGATATCACACTGCTACAAGTGTATTTCAGAATTTCGCCCCGCCCCCTTCCGCCCCCACAAAGGACGATAATCTGTGGCAGGCACAATTTTAAAGATACGATAAAACTAAAAACGCAGTATCGTAGAGAATGCCCATATCTACCAGATTGCCGAATCTGAATTAGATCGG